AGAGGTAACAAACGCACGAAATTCGGCCGACCATGTGCTTGGTTTGCGCAGTGCAGGTGGCGGTTGACTGGGTATCATGAAAAGGGCACGCATGGGATGAATGTCCGCCAACGGGGGTTTTCCATCAGCCATCTCGATCGCAGTAATGCCCAAAGACCAGATATCTGCGGAATAGTTGTAGCCAATTTCCTGAATCACCTGAGAGCGCACAGCACGAAATGAGTGACAATAGATTAAATGTATTCAAAAGCCTGGTAATATTAACGCGAAAAGCATATCCTGGAGAAACATTACCCGCTACATACACACATTGCGATGTATTACTGAATGAAAAATAAAAGGTCTGCAGCGAAAGGATACTACTAGCGAAATAAAAGTACAAAAAACAGTAGCAAGCAAGCTCGTTTATCCACAGGCGAATACATCACAATTTTTCAAAATATTTCGTGGAGGGGGGAGAAATCATTAGAAAATGGGAAGAAAAATATTCAACATTCCATTTCCATGACCGGATGTTGCCCACATTTTGGTCATCAGACATAAGCGTTGGCTCGGGTCATTAGGGCAGGGAAGTGACTGTAGCGTGTGTGGTGTTGACCATGGAAGACCGAGTGTTCTTACGAATTAGTTTTGTGAGCATGAGGGTGATTAAGTAGGCGGATTTCAATCGATTCCGCTATGGCCAAAATGCGCCTTCTAATATCCTTAGATCGACAGATGGGAACCAAGTAAATGAGTCAAAACCCCTTGGGTACATTAACCACGTAGTTTGACTCCAATAGGTATGAAATGATCGAACTGTTGGTCGGTTCAAATAAGTAGACGCACAGAATACCCCCCCCCCCATGTGACAACTCATTCAAAATGTAAAATCAACGTGTGATGAGCATCAGATCATTTTTTCACACCTACAATAGACTGCTTTTACCTGATCGTCGAACTGAGTACGTTGTTCGCAAACGTTTGACCTCAGCCAAGATAAAGGTTCCACTGTTAATGGAATAGACCATGGTATGAAGCCATTATTTGTCTCCGTCTCTGTTGCTATTGCCAATGGCTCCATGAACCGACTTGTACTACCCACTGCTTTACTTTGACTATCTCCCGAACTGTAGTTACCCAGATAGGAAACTCAGAAGCCAGTTCGGTTCAGTTTGTACAACCGTCAACCAGTACCTGATACCAACCCATTGTATTGTAGTCCCAATGGGAAACTATGGTTCTGAATAAGGAGTTTGGCTGGCCAATCCAATGACACTCTCAAAATGAACAGGGCGCAGAATAAAAAACTGATTGCAGCACATCATTGTATGTTCGTCGCAGTACGTAGCAGAACAAACGGTGATGAATGATTACTGGGATAGTTTTTATGCAGTAGGGTCGAATTCGCAATTATGTGTTGGAAAGTTCTTCCTGCCAGCAGAGTTGAAGAATGTATCATGAACATACGTGGTCTAGTATCTCAAGTTATTGCATTCCCCTAATACGAAGCGGATAAGTTTCGCGGTAGTACATGAGAATGGGATGTATAGAAACAGACGGACCCTAAATTTATTTTTGAGGGTTGTCACCTAGTGTTTTTGACATTTTAGTTTAACCATTGGGTATTGTATGTGAGCACAGGGCAAACATTTTATTCCATTCTTCATTTTGTGATTAGGCCGTTCGTACACATGTAAGCCCCAAAAGATCGTGGGTTCCAGAATAAATAAACGATGACAATAGACATTACACACTATGGAGATCATATAGGCAGTACATCTGTATACTCAATAAATAATACAGTAAAAGATTTATACATAACCTCGTTGTGCTGCATCACCATAAATCAAACCGGCTCTGGGACAACAAATACAAACTCACCTCCGGTGCCATCCAGTAAGGAGTCCCAATAACCGTGTTCCGTTTCGCCAATGTATCTGAAAGCTGTCCAGCCACACCAAAATCAGCTAGCTTTGCCGTCCCGGAGTTCAACAACAGTATGTTACCAGCTTTAATGTCTCGGTGAATTTTACGCATCTGCAGTGCGGATGAGGCAATATGGATACAGATGAAACATAAATTGGATTTGGTAGCGCAGTACAAGATAGTGACAATCATTATCATCAATCATAATGCAACGTGTTACAGAGAAGCAAATTTCACCAACTGCTAACAAGCTTGCAATATACGTAAACTAAGTATGTAGGTAAAAGGGACATAGGGAGTAGTCCTGTTTCAAAGGAGATGGAAAGGAAAGCTGTGTAGGCAACAAACAAAACAGTCTAGTATTTGAAAGATTCCCAACACAGCATTTTGAACAAACACAGTTTGACGAAACAATTGTTTTTCAGTAATTCCTTCTCAAGCCGTTTACAGATTACATAGAATAAACCCTTTCAAAAATGAAACACTGAATAACTTTTCCCTCGCAGCATCTTATCTGCGTTTTATATCACCGCTGTAAACGAATGGTTTAATGTGGATATGTCCCTTCCAACCTCCACTAGTACGACTGGGGAAGTATGTCGGTGGCAATCCCTGAGAACTACGCAAATCGCCCAACTGTTGGACAAAGTACCTTGAAACAGAATGGACAAACCGAGTTCAATGCAAATAATTTTCTCTTCCAAGCGCAATGGATGAAAGAGAAAACATCAAAATGAATATGGAAGAAGCTCATTGTCTTACCTGATGCAAATAATCCAGTCCACGAA